GGAAATTGTGATAAAGTTCGAAAAATGTCCTGAGCTACGATACTTTCAGAAGAGGCAAACAAACTAGCAATGCAATCGAATCGAGACAATTTATTTTTATATTGCCGAAAATCCTGGTCCTCGTCCATTGATTCTACATCAAAAAACTCCTCATCTTCTTCCTCGATCAATGTTTTAATATTTTCTGCTCTAAGAACATCAACTCCCCACATCTTAACTTTCTGCCGGATGAAAGGAAGAACTTCGATTACAGTCTCATATTTTCTAGAAGCCGGTAATTTTGGAAGTGGAAAAATTTTACTAAGCTTAACATAATGGTAGGATTCAATCAAAGATATTTTTTCACCTAAGATTGAATGCCATTGTCTGTGTATTTTTATCACTTTGTTATCAACCATAATATTATTCTGCGTAAAAAAACCAACGAGTGGGAAAATGACATTATTTATAATGCAAGATCATTTCGATTTGATCAAAAAAGGAAGATGAATTTAATTGGAATATCATGCGATTATGAGAAATATTTAAGGTAAAATAAACTTTGTTGATCGATTGTAAATTATAGGTTGAAACCGGTTTTGTTTTCGAAAAAACTGGTTTTAGGCAAAAATCCAACCCGTTTGGTTAAACCTGTTTGAATTAAATTATTTAAATTATTTCTAAATACTATTAGAGTAACACAAAGAAATATACTGTATAATCTTAACGTTAAAATTTGATTCATGAATTTTAAGGGTAGAGTATATGACGTCTTAATTATGTTATATCTGATATGGCAAAAAACAATATCGATCATTTGTATGTGTAATGCCGGCCAAAATTAATTCCGGCTTACATTAAAAATTTGAAATCAAAGTTTATTATTATTACTATTATTGTTATGATATTATTATTATTATTATTATTATTATTATTATTATTATGCCAATATTATTGTTAATATATTACTATTATTTTGCTTACATATACATCATTATAAATAACATCTTGTTTTTATCAACTAGTTTTTATTAGATATTATTAACCTTTCATATTAGTTTTAACAATAGTTCTATCCATAATACTAATAATAAAAATATATATTTATGCTGTAGATAACTTCGTTAAAATTACACAAACAATCTGATAAATCAGATCCATTAGTTTCAATAAAAATAACCAATATAACTGATATATTAAAAAATCTTGCTAAATCAAATTTATATAAAAATATAAAAAATCCAAAATATTAAGAGATCATGTAATTTTTCATTCAAAATTTAAATTCAAAAATGAAATATAATTTATTATAAAAAAACTATACATTAGGATCAAAAAATTCATTCAGTTTACTTTATCTTTTTTTATTTATATTATTAAAAAAATCCTTATTTTAATTAAATTTTTCATTTTTAAATTACCAATTTCTAAGTTTTTTTATTAAACATATTTAATTATATTTTAATGCTATTTTATGTAACTAATATAGATATTTCATCTTGTTCCT